AGGCCACAGCAGTGAGGGGCCCACGTACTGCTAAAAAAAAAAAAAAAAAAAAAAGTTGTCTTTCATTTCCCTACCTCATCATTGTCCATTCAAATCTTTGACATTAAGGTCACTGACGTGGCATTATTATCTATAGGTTGAGTATCTGCTTCTGCCAAGTTAATTATCAGCTCAGAGAAACAGCTCAGACATACAAGTTCACGTCACTTACCCTCCAATCTTCAGTTTCCAGCATTTATAAAATCATGGAGTTAGAGGATGTGGTTGTTAAGATTCTTTCAAGATCAAACTATCGATGATTCCATGACTCAGAGTTTAAAGACTTTACTTTACCATTGCAAACTTACTCTGAACTCCCATTAAATTTCAGTGTGTTATTTATTGTTTTATATATAGGCATTTTTTCCCTTATAAAAGTTAACAAGCTCTTGAAGCCACAAAGCATAGCTTGTAGCTCTCTCCATCTGCCCCAACTGAGACACACTGGTGCTCATGAGCAGGACATAGAAACACTCACCGCAGATTCGGATGGCAAGGTTGGTTCTAGACCTAACTCTGCTACCAATTTATTTTGTCACCTTGGAAAATTCCTTTATTCCCTAGGCCTCCAAATTCTTATCATTGGAATGAGGGGTAGAGCAAGGTCAATATTTTTCAAAACTATTTTAGGTTTCACAAGGAAATTTTACACAGACACTAATGAAAGTTAAATGGATAAAAGACACCTGCTTTTGCAGAAGCGGAGAATGATGGTGACACCAGGACCCAGCTAGCATCGACTACTGAAGCAGGCACTGAGTGTGTATGTCAATCCCAATCTCCCAATTTATCCCTCCCCCCATTCGCCCTTGGTAACTAAACACTCTACTATATATAAAATAGATAATCAATAAGAATCTACTGATAGCACAGGGAACTCTACTCAATACTCTGTAATGACCTATATGGGAAAAGAATCTAAAAAAGAGTGGATGTATACATCTAAAAAAGATGTATATGTATAACTCACTTTTCTGTACAGCAGAAACTAACACAACAACGTAAATCAACTATATTCCAATAAAAATGAATTTTAAAAATTTTTTTGAATTTTTAAAAAATAAAACTAAAATAACGTACACTGCAAAAAAACCCAAAAAAACAAAAAGGCACTGGGGCATCTCTAAGGAACCTCAAGCTTCAAAAAAACATTGTTGAATACCACTGGCCTAGATGATTTCTTCTGAAATTACTTTCTAAAACCGGTGGTCCTAAATATTTAAAAATCTTGACTTAACCTGTACCTTCTCCTCAAATTCCTTCTATGTGACCCGAGACTTATTTAGCATCCCATGGTGATCTATGTAGGGGATACCTTGCTAACTAGAGAGCTTGCCAGGAGGAGTTAAAAAGAGGTGGCATATCAGAGCTATTGACAGAGGGAGAAGAAAACAGAGAAAGATAGAATACTGCCTGTCCACCACTGACCTGCAGATCCCAGGTGCCTGGAACCTCCAACTGATTTCTCCAGGGCATGTGCACTGAGTTTACATTGCCTGGTCAGGATGGGTAAGCCGGTAGCAATCTTTGTAATTGTCTCCAGGATGGGGAAGAAGGGCCTAGGGATTTCACAATGTCTTCAGCACAGTATGGATAATAAGGAGGTGGGGAACAATAATGAGTGTTTGTTGAAAGGGGAGAGAGTCATCCATAAAGCCTTGGCAAAAGCCAGGCACTGGGACTCTGCTCATAGCTATTGTTATTGGTGGTTTTGGCAGCCAGATAAATGATATTGGGGTCAGACGACTTTATATCACCTTCCCTTTGGTGCCCCAAGGGACTCCATCCTAGCCATAGGGAGGTGGAAGAAACAAGAGTGAGTGTTTCTGAAGGGCCTAAGGACAGACTTTTTTCTGTAGCCAGGCTGTGGTCAGTGAGGCAATGTGAGAACAGGGACTGATGGCATTGTGAGTATGGCCCTGTTTGGAATTATGAGAGCAACATCTCTGTTTTTCAACAGGTTCTATTAGTTGGTACCAGTTGATGAGATGTAATGTCTAAGGAAACCCACTACAGACAGAAGACATTGACCTTGGATTCATCCTGGAACTGAGCAGGTGCCCTTTGCCCTGGACTATGAGAGCACCTGGCCCAGTGTGATCAGGGTAGGGGTGAAGAACACTCAGGCCTCTGACTGATATTTTACTTAATTCAGTCCATGATTGACCCATCCATCCAACCATCCATCCACCCATCCCTCCATCAGTCCATTAACCCATCCATCCATCCATCCGTCAGTCCATCGACCCATCCATCCAACCATCCATCCACCCATCCCTCCATCAGTCCATTAACCCATCCATCCATCCATCCGTCAGTCCATCGACCCATCCATCCAACCATCCATCCACCCATCCCTCCATCAGTCCATTAACCCATCCATCCATCCATCCATCCATCCGTCAGTCCATCGACCCATCCATCCAACCATCCATCCACCCATCCCTCCATCAGTCCATCGACCCATCCATCCACCCATCCCTCCATCAGTCCATTAACCCATCCATCCAACCACCCATCAGTCCATCGACCCATCCAACCAACCATCCATCCATCCATCCCTCCATCAGTCCATTAACCCATCCATCCATCCATCCATCAGTACATCTACCCACCCACACATCCACCCTTCTATCCATCCATCCATTCATCCACCTACTCACAAGGGGCAGAGACACTTGGGCATAGTGCCCAACATAGACCAACTGCCTTATGGTAATTCTCCCTCACAGGTCATTTGCAACGTTCCATAAAGGGCTTGGCAAGGATGTGGGAGAGGTCGGTCCTATACCCAGATGTCTGCAGAGTGACGGATGAGAAAAGATGGGCAGAGACGGGAACAGATTTCTGTTTTCTAAGGCCAACAGTCATTCTTCACTCCCTTTCCCAATCTCTTGTCCCCTCAATGGAAGAGGTCAAAGTACAGGGTATTATATCAGGCAATCAATGAGTGCTTACTGAGCATTTACAATGCCCTGTGACAAAGGCATACAACACCTGGTCCCTGCTGTTAAGTAGCTTTACAGTCTGGCTGGGGGCTAAGCCATAAACACTTGAAAAGACCAGACTCTCTAATCTGTGGGCCAAGGGAATATGGTAGACAACAGAAACAGAGAACCTTCTCGAGTAAAAAGATAAATTCCTAGAATTGAAAGGGCCTTAGCCCTTTACATTGTGCCTCTTTTTTTGTTTGTTTTAAGATATTTATTTATTTTGGCTGTGCTGGGTCTTAGTTTCAGCACACAGGATCTTCGTTGCGGCATGCAGGACCTTTTTTGGTTGCGGCATGCGGGATCTAGTTCCCTGACCAGGGATCAAGGTCAGGGAACTAGATCCCGCATGCCGCAACCAAAAAAGATCCTGCATTGGGAACTCAGAGTCTTATCCGCTGGACCACCAGGGAAGTCCCTGTTCCTCCCTTTCCAGCTACTTGTGTCAGCTCATCCCTGCTAAAGCCCTTTTGAATTCTTTAATCCTACAAATGATGACGCAATCACTTCAGGCTGGAGAAAGCTTCAAGAATGAGGTGAAATTTCAGCCGCTCCCTGCCAGGTGGGTGGAGGGGAGAGAAAGGATATTCCAAGGTGGAGGAATAGTTTCCACATTCAACACTCACTGGATCCAGATTATTTGCCAAACGTCATTCGAGGTGCTTGGGAACAAAACTGATACAGCCTTGACCTTGAGGTGATTTTAGGGGCCTCAGACCCCAAGTCAATTTATTACAAGGAGGGGGAGTTAGCATAGAGTTAAGCACAAAGCACTGTCAGAGCAGATGACCAGGGATCTCCACTCAGCAAAGGCTCCTCAGAGGAGGTGACAATATGAGACTACGGCTGGGCCTGTGGGCAGACGGAGAGTGTGAACTAGGTCTGTTCTTGGCAGCCCTGAGAGGCCTGTGGTAGCAACTGTGCTGCCTGCCGCCCAAGGACTTGAGCTGCATCTGGGCTGGAGCCGCTGCAGTCCCCAGAGGCAGATGCCATGGCCTGGCCTCTCCCTTGCTGTTCTTTCAGCAGAAGGTGAACCTGCCAGGCTGGTCTGACTGGTGAGGTGCAGATGGAACTCCTGGGACTCCGACTTGAGCCCCTCCTCTGGCTTCTGCTCTCGTTCCCCAGACCTTAGGCAGGGACTCTGAAGTCATAGTCCCTGGCACGTATGTCTGAAGGTGCAAAGGTAGTCAAGGAAGATCTAAACCTTGTGGGAACAGAGAATATTCAACCAATTTGGTATGATCCTTTTAAATCACATGTTTGGGGAAATAAAAGGGCTGGTGTTCATTTTGAGAGGGAAAATAAAAGTAATGGAGAAAATTGCAATCATAATAAAATAAATAATTTGTTTCTCTTCCCCTGCATACTAGTTATCTATTGCTGTGTCACGAGTGACCCCAAACTTTAACAACTTAATGCAGGAACACTTACCTTTCTCACAGTTTCTGAGGGTTGGGACTCTAGAGCAGTTTAGCTGGGTGATTCTCTTCAGAGTCTCCGACTAGGTTGCAATCAGCCAGGGCTGCAACGCCTGAAGGCTTGCCTGGGCTGGAGGAGCTACCTCTAAGCTCACTGGTGTGGCAGTTGTCAGGACGCTTCATTTTTCACCAATGGGTCTCCTTACAGGGCAGCTCACACATGGTACCTGGCTTCCCCCAGAGCAAGTGAATAAAGAAACAGAGACCAAGATAGAAGCCACAGTGACTTTTATTACCTAATCTCAGAAGCGGCATTACATCACTTCTGCGGCATTCTATTGGTCATGGAGAGAACTCTGGTCCAGTGTGGGCGGGGGCACACAGTGGGTGTGAATTCCAAGAGATGGGGGTCATTGGCTGCTGTCTTCATTCCTTAGGGCTGCCCTAACCAATTGCCACAAACTTGATGGCTTAAAACAACAGAAATTTATTCTCGCACAGTTCAGGAGATTCGAAGGCTCCCATACTTCCTCCGAAGGCTCTGGGGAAGAACCTGCCTCGTCACTTCTGATGGTGCCCCAATCATTGGCACACCTTGCCTGGTGGCACTCTCCTTAGCCTCCATCTTCTCATGGCCTCCTTCTCTGGGTTTCTTTCTTCTTACAAGGACAGAAGTCCTACTGGATTTAGGGTTTACACTCATACAGCATGACCTCTTAACTAATTGCATCTACAAAGACCCTTTCTCCAAACAAGGTGTGAATGAAGAATATTGTCTGCCATATCAGTAAACAAAGGATGTGGCAGCCATCAAGCCATCACCTTACAGCTTCCCCCAACGGTGAGGTCTGAGGGAACTCAGGATGGAAACAGAATGCCCATAGCTGCAGCCACCCCCAACAGCGCACCCTGAGGAAACCCTGGTTGAGAAAACACAGGACACTGGCCCCAGATAGCTGAGATGCATATCAAAGGAATGATTCCAGTGAGCCCAGAATCTTGCATCTTCCCATACATAGAAAAGCACTGAATTCCTTAACTTGACATGTCTGATTTTCTTAAATTAACAATAATCTTTGATGTTCCGAATACCTGGTCTTTGTTGCAAAAACTCCTATATATCCTGGCTTCCCCCTTGCCTCTTTGGAGCAGTCCCTCAGAGTTATCTGAGAGGCTGTCTTCCAGGCTTGAAGCCCTCAGAATGCCCAGCAAATAAAACATAACTCTCAACTTAAGGTTGTACATTTGTTTTCAGTTGACAAAGATCACAGTCTGAGGTTCCCAGAAGGACATGACTTGTGGGGAACAGTATGCCACCAGCCCAGGAGACCCCTCGGGGGCTGGATCCCACCTCTTGGAATCTCAGAAGACTGTGACCAATCCAGGTCAAAGCGTAGGATTGTTACCTGTACGTTACCACGAAGCATGAAGGATTCCCACAGCTCCCCTGCCCCTGCCCCTGCCCCCTTAGGGGTTTACCTTTCTGCGAGGTTTCACATCAGTAGTGCCACTCAGCAGAAAAGAAAACTGTGAACTAAGCCCCAAATCTCAGAAGGATTTACCCAAACTGGGAAACAGGTGGAGGAAGAGTGGCCGTGTGCCCGGCCCGTCCACGGTGAGGCCCTGAGAGCAGAGGCGGGTTCATCAGCACGGGTCTCTTCCTACACCTCCTGGCCCTGCCCAAGCTGGCCCGCCCCGCAGCGCTGGGGGCGTGTTGCCCGAGTCACACTGCTGGAAGTAGAAGTCGGTGATGGGGCCATCCCAGCTGGTGTCCTTCGGGAGCTGAGTGGCCCGGAGAGGCTGGTCCACTTCGGGCACGGTGCAGAGAAACCAGCCCGGGTAGGCGGCCGAAGCTAGAGGTGAGCCCCGTGTCCCGCCGGTAGAAGGTGAATCTCTTGGACTCCTCGGCACTGTGGTAGAGCTCCATGATGTTCACTGGCTGCAGGCAGAGGGCACAGCAGGTGGGTGAGGGGTCAGGGCCGGCCCCAAGGCACAGGGAGGCAGAGCCATAATTAACAGAACCCTGGAGGGAGAGGAGCCCAGGAAGCCGTGGCATCAGCATCTTTGACTTAGTGAAGCCACGTGGCGAGGCTCCCCCGACAGCACCCACCTCTAGTTTCAGGGTCGGTTCCTGCCCCGTCCCACACGACAGGCACTGGCTCCCACCCTGGACGCCCAGGATGACTGGAGAGAGCTTGGCATCCAGATACCGACTGGGGACCACGCTGATCTCCTTACCTAGAGGAAGGAAGCGGATGCAGGGACCTTGGCCGCCCTTCCCTCCCTCTGCCCCGTCATGGGCTGTATCAGGCCTCCTGTGCGCAGGCTGGACAGAAGGGGAGCTTCAGAACAGCTGCCAGGTAGGGAACGGGGGTCTCCTGCCAGCTGGTCCAGTGGAGGTCAGGGCAGTAGCACACGGTACCGCCTCCCAACCCCACGCCCACCCCAGGGTCAAAAGTTCAAGTCTTCTCCAAGCCCCAAGGGAGGCTGACCACCTCTTTTAATGCCCCTCAACCTTCCAGCCTCCTTTCTGTCACCTGTCTTGATAAGCCTCCCATTAGAGTTAGTAGGTATCTTTCCACCCACTGTGAGATTCCTGAGAACAGAAAAGGGTCTCATTTTTCTCTGTAAAGTCCCTCCATCTCACACATACACACACACACTCAGCCTCACAGAGGGCTCTGCCTGGCCCCAGTGCCCAGTGCGGCTATTCTAGGCGAGTAGGTATGTGCCACTCTAGAGAGAAGGTCCTATCACACTGTGTGGGGCTGTGTGAATGAGCACGAGGCCAGATGGTGTCACCTGCTTCTCTGGGCCCCACCACTCTGAGTGACCGAAGACCCTCAGAGCACCGAGAGGGCCAGGGGCAAAGGGGCAGAAACCCACTCCCACATGGGAGTAAGGGTGTAGAGAGCCTGCTTTAGTGCTCTCCTCAGCACTGGCTCCCAGAAGAAGGGATGTTGGACCCAAGTCCACCTGTGAGGAAATGACAAAACAGCCATCTTGGAAAATAATCCCACCTTTGCATAGAGGCTTCCGGTGGGACTGGGGCATGGCGCCGTGCTGGAAGGTGTGCTATTTTATTTGTCCTTGCTCAGAGCCTGGTTTTCTGATGCCCCGTCTACTGTGTCAGGCCCAGGGTCTGTTGGCTTGTGCCAATGTTTTTAAGCCCTCTTCCGGCTCCCTCCCCTCAGAGTATTTAGAAACCTAGGGAAGTAGGGACCTCTTTTGCCACCAACCTTTAATGACCTTCCCTGCTTGCAGCCCTCCGGCTTGAAGCTGGTTATCATGCAGATAAAGCACCTTCAGTGTCGCATCCTTCATTCTAAAACATCAGGACAGGATGACACTCAGGGCAGGTGGTGGGTGCTCCAGCTTGCCTGGGCTCTGGAGAGTCCCCCAGTCTCAGGCACTGTCACCCTCTCTTCCCACTGAGCCAGAAGTAATGACACAACCTTCTCCCCCAGCCCTGGGGGCTCATGCCTACCACCGGGACAAGGCCACAGCCTCCCATCTGAGTCTGGGGTTTGCCCCTTCATCCTATTCAATCTTTTTTTTTTTTTTTTTTTTTTTCTCTGCGGTACGCGGTCCTCTCACTGTCGTGGCCTCTCCCGTTGCGGAGCAACAGGCTCCGGATGCGCAGGCTCAGCGGCCGTGGCTCACGGGCCCAGCCGCTCCGCGGCATGTGGGATCTTCCCGGACCGGGGCACGAACCCGTGTCCCCTGCATCGGCAGGAGGACTCTCAACCACTGCGCCACCAGGGAAGCCCATCCTATTCAATCTTTTCTACACTAACCAGACTCTTCCCGGTGTCATGTTGGAAAAGAAACTAAACTGAGTCAGAGTCCTGTGTTCTCATCCTGGCTCTGCCGCCATCACTGCTGAGTCACGACAGACAAGTTATTCACCCTCTCTGGGCCTGAGTCTCCTCGTTGCTAAACTAAGAAGATGGGAAAGATGCTGCCCAGCCCTCTTCAGGATAAAAATGCGCCTTGATTGACTTCCGCCTTTACTTCTGTTTGGTGCATTTACCTCCACTTGGCCGTACAGTCCCTACCACGTGAGGGATTTCTTTACATTTAAAATTCGTTCATTTTGCTTTTCAAATTTAATTCACTCCTACAATCTCAGTTGATTTTCTGACATCCTGTGAGGCGAAAGCTGTACTCTAAAGGGGGTTCCTCCAGTTGTGTACAAATTAGTTCAATGCTGACTAAACACAATTAAACAAATCTCTACTTTCAAAGTGACTAATATGCTGAGTTGTGCTATGGTCCTCTTTTAAGGGGACCTAGAAAGCATATTTCCCACATTTCCTGGACCGAGGGGCATCACTGTACAGAGCCACTCGTAGGACTGGGGTTCCACAGAACGCACCTTGGGAAAAGCTATACTAGACTCCGAGTTCAGTGAGAGCAAGATTCTTCTCATTCACTGTTGCAAAAGTCCAGCTCATTGCAGAGCCCCTGGCTCAGCACATGCCAATGGACAGACAGGCTGACTGATAGAAGAGTTTTGCTGCTGCTGTCTTGTCCCAGAGGGCAGCAAGGAGGTAGTGGTCGGATTGACATCTCTTCACTGCAGTGGGTGGTAACAGCAGGGCTCCAAGCCGGGCCTCCTAACTCCCTAGGATGGATGAGGCCACAATCCCCTCTCATCAGGGAAGCCCCAGGAGAGGGCCTGCTCCCCTCTGAAGAGGCTGGAAGAACTCCTCTAAGGGCAGGGAGTTGCCGTTCACACCTTCCCAGCTGCCCACCCCACCTGTGGGACAATCACAGCGCCCTCCCAGGAAAGGCTGGACAACAGATCTACCCAGAGCTCACTCACCCCTCAGAGGACACGACCCAAGCAGAGGCTTGGATACTCACCGGAAGCACAGCGCCCCACTCAGGACCATCTCGAGCTTCTGTGTGTTGACGTTCCTATTTTGAGATAACAGAAAATCTTAGGTAGAGATAGAGGCTGAGCTGGCAGGGGCCTCCGTAAGCAGCCCCCTGAGCCCCCCCCCCCCCCGCCC